TACAGAGGCATTTTCTGCCCAGAAAATAATTTCATATTCTGCGATCAGATGCAGGCTTTTTATCTTCTTAGCTTTATTGACTAAGTAATTAAAAACATTTCTGAGTCTCAGTTTCTCCATAATTAAAATGAGGGCTATAATACCTAACCTGAACAAAAATTGTTATTATTAGAGATAAAATAGATAATGCTCCTGGCACAGTTTCTGGTACATATTAGGCACTGAGTAATTGGGAAGGATTATTAATAGTATCAGACATAGAAGTAAAAGAGAAAATATTGATTTAGGTGTCTAAAAGATGAATGAAAATCCTTGAAGAAATTTAGAAATTCTCAAAATAGCTTTGATAACTCTTAGAATCCTAACAAAATAGATTTATTTGTACACCTGCATTCTGATTGGAAATGTGTAGCCACCAGCCATGTGTGTGTACTGAGACACAGCTCTTTTCTTTTTAAAAATTAGAAGCATCCACACAAATTTCCATAAAGGAATTAAACCCCTGTGGGCCAAACAGTTGAGAAATGTGTGTGGTCCAATGTATCGGCCACTTTGGGCCTTAACAAAGTGAATTGAAGAAAGAAAAAACCCAATGATTAATGGGAAGCGAAGATACAGGCTGGACTGCATTTATTACAAAGCAGGGATAACCATTAGATTAAAGCCGTTTACATTTTGAATTTCAGCAGTCCCTAAAATCAGCTTATATGCAAAGCTGCTTATGCTAAAATGAGCTTAATTTCTGGTTGTAAACAGTTCTGCTGAACATAAAATTTCAGGCTTCGTGAGGATCCCTTGTTCAATTCAGATTAGCTTAGGAAAATCTTTAGTTATAATTAAAACCTTATATGGTGAATTTATTCCTTCAAACTTATACCAACAATTTTCTAGTGTATTTTTTTCCTACTGGTATAATTTTTCCTCCAGCATACTAGAATGTTAAGGTAAGGAACTAGTTATTTAATGGGCAAAACACATTCCTTCTGCTTTGGTATATGTTTTTACTATTTGAAATGAGTACATTTATAATATTTCTCTGTTACTTTTATTTAGACTCATAATACAACTCATAACACCTCCTTCAAGAATTATACGATATGCTAATACTTTTGAAAATACATAGGAAAAATCACTTACTAGTTTGGGCTCTCCATCATCCATTCTCCTTTATTTTTGGTAACACTTTCTGAATTGCTTCTCAGGCATTCACCCTGTCCCCATGCAGTCCATGTAACTCTATGGAAGCTGAACTTATCCTAAGATTCTTTCTTCCAAGGTAGTCAACACATCCCTTCAAGGTAGTCAGTTCATGGTTTTTTGTTGGAGATGGATTCATGGTTCCATTAAAGTCAGTGAGATATGAGTATATATTCTTGAGATAGGCTTCTTGGGAACAAGCATTTGTGAGTTTTCAACAAACGTTATTGGGAGAGAATCATTTCATTAGCTGGAATTAAATGAGGATGTCTGTAGTTTTGGAAGCTGCTGGCAGCCTTTCTGTGACTGTGAGGGTTTTCAGCCTTTGCATGAAGCAGATATAATAGAAGACAGAGAAGTTGAACACACTGCAGTCTTCGAAGATATTCAGGCTTGACTGAAGCCTTCCCAACTTGTGGACATATTCCAGTTTTAGGTATATGTACTGAAAATTGCCACCATTTTTTAGCTTATATATGTATACCATTTTATTATTTAGGTCTATTGGTTGCAATGGAGAAATCTCTAACATAAATATTTATCCATTTTAATACCCTGTTGTTGTTTTTTTTTTCCAGTACGCGGGCCTCTCCCATTGCGGAGCACAGCCTCCGGACGCGCAGGCTCAGTGGCCATGGCTCACGGGCCCAGCCGCTCCACGGCATATGGGATCTTTCCGGACTGGGGCACGAACCCGTGTCCCCTGCATTGGCAGGGGGACTCTCAACCACTGCACCACCAGGGAAGCCCTAATACCCTGTTTTACTTTGCATATTCAATCACCATTTCTGTGAAGCTAGCTACAGTGTGCCATTATGAAGGCTCCAAACATACTGCATCCCACGTTTTCATAGAAAATTGTCTTGATTTGATTTGATTTAGATATATGAATGCATTTTAGTTTCAAAATGGACTTTAACTGTGTTTTTGCTACTCTAATTAGAATTGGCAGCTAGCTTCAGCAAAAATGCGAATAATACTTGATTCATGCATATACAATTTTATATATAAAGTAACACAGTAATATGTAAAAGAATAATGTATACACATTTGGAAAATTATTTAAATTTATTTTTATTTGGGTAAGATCAGAAAGATTGTGCAGATTTCTCATGTTATTGCAAGTCATTATTTAAATACATTTCATAAAGCTATAGCTGTCATAGATAGGGATTCCTCTGATGGATTTGGGCAAAGTGAATTGAAAACCTTCTGGAAAGAATTTACCATCCTAGGTGCCATTAGGAACATTTGTGGGAAGAGGTCAAAATGTAAATACTAACAGGAATTTGGAAGAAGTTGATTCCAACCCTCTTGAGAGGTTCAAGAATTCAGTGGAGAAAGTAACTGCAAATGTGGAAATTGCAAGAGAACTAGAATTAGAAGTGGAGCCTGAAGATGTGACTGAATTGCTGCAATCTCATGATAAAACTTGAATGGATGAGGAGCTTCTTATGGATGAGCAAAGAAAGTGTTTTCTTGAGAAGGAATCTACTCCTGGTGAGGATGCCGTGAAGACTGAAAATGACAACAAAGGATTTAGAATATTACATAAACTTTGTTAATAAAGCAGAAGCAGGGTTTGAGAAGGCTGACTCCAATTTTGAAAGAAGTTCTGTGGGTAAAATGCTGTAAAACAGCATTGCCTGCTACGGAGAAATTGCTCATGAAAGGCAGAGTCGATCGGTGTGATGAACCTCATCACTGTCTTATTATAAGAAATTGTCACGGCCACCCCAGCCTTCAGCAGCCACCGCCCTGATCAGTCAGCAGAAAGATTATGACTCGCTGAAGGCTCAGATGATGCTTAGCATTTTTTAGCAATAAAATATTTCAAAATTAAGGTATGTACATTTTTTTAGGCATAGTGCTGTTGCACACTTAATAGACTACAGTGTAGTGTATAGTGTGAACATAATTTTTATATATACTGGGAAACCAAAAAAAAAATTGTGTACCTGACTTTATTGTGATATTCTTGCTTTACTGTAGTCTGGAACTAAACCCACACTATCTCCGAGGTACGCCTATATGGAGGTATGCCATACCCAAGGTATGTTTCTTCTGATAGCTAAGACATAAGAGTCTTTGAAAAGTGACAGTGTGTCCTGAAATATTAAAAAGCTGCCAGGAACCACTGAAATATAGCAGTTACTGATGTTTGAGATAATGGTGCCTTAAAGGAGTTAACATGCAAATCAGACTACAGAATATTTTTCCCCATTGGAAGTAACTGTTTTCCCATTACTTTCACTTAAAAAGTCTTTAAAAACAACCTGTCAGAATATTGGATGTATTTTTCTCATGTAGGCAGATCTCTATTGATTAAAAGGTTGAAGCCAGGGAAGATTTTGAGCTGAGATGGAACATCCTCAGAGCCTTGCATTAAGAAGATGAATTTGCCTGCAGTGAGGAGGGTGAGTTGCCCGGGGCTGAGACCCTTTTCCCATCCTCTCTCTGTTTCCCTGTCTCCTCATCTTCACAGGCTTCCCCATCCGACCACAGCTTCTCCCTCTCTCCCTTCCATCAATCTCCCCCCACCCTTCCTTCAGTTTTCCTCCTCTGCACCCACTTTCCATGAACATCTCCTCATTACCTTTTAAATGGACAATTTCTGTCCAAACACAAGTGTTTACAAAGCCACTAATGAGCAAATTGTTAACTAAACAATAGGATGGGGATACACAGGGTTTGGTATGAAAGTTTCTGTAATTAGAAAGGACAGAGTTATGATTGTCTCCTTCCCTCTATTGTTTTCTTAGTGGATGTACATACATACAGTTGGCTTTCTGTATCCACAGGTTCTGCTTCTGTAGATTCAACCATCCATGGATCAAAAATATTCGGAAAAAATTCCAGAAAGTTCCAAAAAGCAAAACTTGAATTTGTGTTGTAACAACTGTTTACATTGTATTTACAATGATTTATGTAGCATTTACATTTTAGTAGGCATTATCGGTAATCTAGAGATGATTTAAAGTATACTGGAGGATGGGTGTAGATTATATGCAAACATTATGCCATTTTATACAAGGGACTTGAACATCCTAGGATTTTGGTCCTTAGATACCTAGGGATGGCTGTACATACTGCTAGAATACAATTTGAATCTTGGACAATTGGAGCAGTTGTCAACTATGGACAATAGTGTCAGATTAATGACTTTTGTTATTATTTCGCAGAAACACAACCACCACCTTAGATAAATGATATATTGTAAATTCCTCTACTTCCTTAGGAAAAGACAGTTGAAATCTACATGTGGTCTACATAATGACCCGTTTCAGAAGTTACAGCTCTCAAACACCCTTTTTCTCTAAATCTGAAAAGAAACACTTTAACTTCCCCTTTGATTTTTTTTATTTTTGTTTGTTACTATTGTACATATAAAAACAGATTTAATTTAGATATAGTCAACCAAGTGAAATATGAAACAATTTCACTGTTTTGACTGAACTAAATGAAGAGTTTGAGACTGATGTGGTAAGTTTAAGATGACAAAATGATTGATTGTATACCCTCGTAGACAAAGAGTGTTCTTCAGCTTTACAGTTAAGCTTTGATATTCACATCAACATTGGCATTCCCACCATGGGCAGTGGCAACACTACAGATTCTGTAAGTGACTTTGTGGGCTGTGCACATGGAAGCCAGAATACTAAATAGGGTCGATGCTGTAGGATGACTGCAATTAAGAAACTGGTTTGTGAGTATACATGTTGTAACTTTCAGGGGGTCCCCCAGATTGACTTCAGAACCCTTCAGAGTGGAGAATTTAATGATAATTCTTATTAAAGACATACCATATTATAGCCAGTATGAAAGGCTATGATGTCAGGATCACTGCCATAAGAGGTTCTTGTTTCTTTTCAGAAGAAAATTTGAAGGACTGCAGAGAAAACAAGCACAAGAAAGTCCTGGTCTGAGAAAATGGAGTCATTAGTTTTTCTTTAATTTGCAGGTAATTTATCTGTAGTCATATTCTGTGTTATATTCCCGGTTTAACAAACTGTGTTCTCTATGCCAGAATACAAAATTATTTAACAGTTCCTTGGGACAGATGTAAAACCTCTAGACTTGTTTCCAAGGATGAAGACCTAAATACAAGAGAACTTACATAGAGTCAGTTTGAGCCCTCAGCTGCATAGATGTTTAAATGAAAAAAACACTCTGAGTTAAATTGGGCATAGTGACAGCTTCCAGATACATAAAGTGAGCTGTTTCAATGTGCGTGTCACAGTTTGGGTGAGGTCTGAGGATAGCAATTGAGACAACATTTATTAGAATAAATTAATTGAGATAAATTTTAGCCTGCAAAACATATAAACTGTTGTTCTCTATAAGCATTTAATTTGGTTGCCTTGACCATTCATAGTGGCAGAAGAAAGCTTCCAGGACATAAATTTATGGATAACTGCCAAAAAGTAGAGCGATACTAATGGGTCATGCCATTTACAGTATGGAAGGAAACTTCCTTGCCTCCCCTTTCTTTATAACTGACAAATAAAAATTGTATATATTAAAAATTGTATATATTTAAGGTATATAATGTCACATTTTAATTTATGTATATATACATTGTGAAATAATTATCACAATCAGGCTAAGTAACAAATACATCACCTCACAGTTACCATTTTCTGTTTGTATGGTGGGAGCACTTAAAATATACTCTGCTGGCAGAGTTTAAGTGTGTAACTGTAGTCCCCAGGCTGTACACTAGGTCTCCAGAACTTACTGCAAAGTGAGATTTTGTCCACTTTGCCCAACATCATGCCATTCCTCCCACCACCCAGCCGCTGGCAACCACCATTCTACCTTCTGCCTCCGTGAGTTCAACTTTTTCACATTCCACATGTAAATGAGATCATGCAGTATTTGTCTTTCTGTGTCTGGCTTATTTCATTTAGTGTAATGCCTTCCAGGTTCATCCATGTTGTCACAAACGGCAGGATATCTTGGTTTAAAGGCTGAACGATATTCTGATTGATACAGTAATCACACTTTTCTTTTATTGCCCTAGGAAAACAAATTTGTTTTAAGCATTTTGTAGTTACTTACTGAAGCATTTTTATGGTGCCTGCTTTAAAAACTCTCGTTAGAAAATAACATCCATGTAATCTTGGTGTCAGAGTCAATTGTTTGTCTATTCTCACTCAGCTGGGGGTTTCCTCATGCTTTGTATGACGAGTGATTTTTTATTTTTTTTTAAACTAAACCTGGACCTTCGAGCTAAAACTCTGGGTATTATTTAAATCTTGTGTTTATCAAGCCTCTGACAACCACTGCAGTGGATGAAGTGTGTGTGGGTATCTTCTTGTTACCGTCAGATGAGTTGGAAGTACAGGTTCTTCACTTGGCCTCGTTTCACATCTGGAATGAAGGAATGAAGAAGGGCTCTTTATTACTACTGGATGGGGGTAAGAGTTCAAGCTCCCCATTAAACTTCAGCTGATACCTGGCTGGGAGCAGGAGAATATCTCATTACTGCTCTCCACCTGGGGCCCCCACTAACACTGCTGGGGAGGAAGTGGACTCTTTATCACTGAGTAGTGTTAAAAGCCTTGACTGCGTTGGAACCCCAGTGAGGTAGCCTTGACAGTGCTGAGTGGGAACGGATCTCCAGGCCGTCTCCCGGTCTCCACTCCAGCATATGGCATAAGAGTAGTTGTTACCTTTTGTCAGGGATGAAAGTCTCAGTTCTGCACTCAGCCTTTTCTGACATCATCCCGCAGAGGGAAGGTCAGAGTGTCTCACTGTTGGCCTGCCACGGGTGGAAATCTAGTCTTTTCACTCAAACTTTGCTAGTGAGGGTGGGGATGGGGCTGTGGTTTTTTTCTGCAGGTTAGGCTAGAATAAACTAGTTATTGTCTGAAGGTTTTCTGTCTTTCAAGGCTGCCTTTTACCTGGTCCTTGGGCTACAGAGAGGATGCTGTACTAGGGTTCTTTTATCTGCTACTGTTGGTGCTTAGGAGTTGTCAGCTTCTCCAGTTTTCATTCTGAGATATATGAGGCAAAAAGAAAACTCAGAATTCACCAACTTGTCATTCCTGGATATATTTATATCTACTGGTCTTGAAGTTTTCCTTAGTGGTTAGAATAGGGAAAAGTACATCTATTCCTCTTCATCCTCTCTGAAAGTTTGATGAAAGTCATATGACTTTTTTTTTAAATTAAGGTGTAAGTGACACACTACCTTCAGATGTACAATAAAATGGTTCAGTATTTGTATATATTGTAAAATGATCACCGCATTAAGTCTAGCTAGCTAACATCTATCTTTAAAAACTTTAAAATAAGCTCAATAAAGTGTTTATTAATGTAATAAGTGTTTATTATAATATTTAATGTAATATATGTCTCTATATCATTTTCTTTAGTATTTGGCATTAAAGGAGGGTAAAATCTCAATAACAGATCTGTTATTACCCCCAACAAAAAATATATCCCTTTGGTGAAATGCAATAATACTAACCATGAGGTTGGATAATGTGGTCACATCGTAATTTAAGAGACTTTCAATGGAAAGGAAAATAAATAAAGAAATAGTTGTGACGTGGTATTCTTTTAAAACCCCCATTAAAATACTGGGGGATGATGGGGTGAGGATGGAGAAGTGAAAACAAGGTCTAGGGTGACTGTATTTTACCTGGAACTCTCCTGGTTTTAACACCAAATGTCTCTTAGTCCTGGGCAAACAGGAACAGTAGTCACCCTAATTCAAGAACTATGCTTATTTATAGATACTGTGCAATCTTAATCTTATAAGTAGACATAACTGTGGCTATTTTATTAATAAGGCATCAAAGGAATCACTAAATTACTGGGCAGACATCACCACATTCTCTTACCTCATCCACCATTGTACCTGTGTGCTCATGATTTGTTCCAGTCGTCACTGAATTGGGCTTTCTGCATTTGTTCTTCACCTCCTAGAGCCTCTCCGTTTCCAAACAGCAGAGGTCTTAAGAATACTGAAAAAATACATTTATGATTAGAAAACTTTACTGACTAGAACCAAATTTATCTGTTTGTTATAGTATCTGTAGAATCACAGCTGTTTTAAAATGAATTAATGATGTAGATTACTATATTTACTAAAGTTATACTGAATCAATTACTTTATGGAATCCTCATTTACAAGAATAATCTAGTATTTTATTAAAAAGTAACACTTTGCTGTACAGCAGAAGCTAACACAACATTGTAAAGCAACTGTACTCCAATAAAAATTAATAAAAAAGGTGATAAGTCATAAAAATTTAAATATATTTTTTTGTTTTGTTATGTATACCCACTTTAATGTGATTTTTTCAGTGTGTTATATAATTTGACATATGTTAGGAATATAGTACAGTGAATTTAACTCCTGTAAAGAGGCTAATTTTTAAATGAATCTGTTAATTTTTCTTTAGAGTAATAAACCTTTTAGTTATGTCTATAGTCTTTCTTCAAAAATGTTTTTAATGTTATACTATAGACATTTTCCCTAAAGTTTAACACCTTTACCATTCAAATAAATCATCAAACACATCTAAGTTTACTTGTCCTTTTAACTCAGGTACATAGTATATTTAAGTACTAAAGAAATTTTCTGTCTGCATTTTAAAGCTTCAAGCAAATTTCCAGTTAAAAAATATCTTCCAAATTACCAAGATTCCTGCTAAGGAAGGATGTGCACAGTAGCAATTAGGACAGTTAATCAGTTGGCTTTGTCATCTAAAGGGGAAAAATCATTAGCAAGACACTGGGTGGCTAGTGACAGCTTAAATACTTATAAATCACAAAACTGTCAGCTCCTTCCTTTAAAAGAAAGAGATAGGTTGAGCCTTTTTTCAGTTTAAGTTTTTTGATTTATGTCACTTTGTAAAAACCTAAACACTTGGAGCCTTGTCATGCAAAAAACTTAAAAAACCTCTTAATAAAAGTTAAACAAGGGGCTTCCCTGGTGGCACAGTGGCTAAGAATCTGCCTGCCGATGCAGGGGACATGGGTTCAAGTCCTGGTCCCGGAAGATCCCACATGCCGCGGAGCAGCTAAGCCCGTGCGCCACAACTACTGAGCCTGTGCTCCACAAAAGAAGTCACTGCAATGAGAAGCCTGCGCACCACAACAAAGAGTAGCCCCCACTCGCAGCAACTCGAGAAAGCCCGTGCGCAACGAAGACCCAACGCAGCCAAAAAAAAAAGCTAAACAAGCAAATTGTTCTAGAAAAAGTCAAAAGACTTGTCTGCACACTACATCAGAACCTCATCAGACCTTAGTAAACATTATGTCCTCAAGAGGTTCACATACTAGTGTCCAAAAGTGCCCTTTGGAATATAACAATGAAATGTTAGAAATACCACAAAATGAATAGATTTTAATAGATCTACTCTCTCAAATGGCTTAAATAAACAAAGCCATACCTGTGCTAAAAAACAAAAACCAACCAGCCAATTATACCTGTCGTTTGAGGATTAACACTAGACTCAAGTGACGAACTGCCAAAAAAACACCTTTCAATTGACTTTCACTATATACGTATCTCGGAGATCTCTAGTAGAAATACCACGTGTACCCTATTTAACATTAACTTTATAACCATTAGTGTTCCAGACTCATCAATACTCAAGTCACTGAATCAACTTTTTCCATTCAATTTTCAAAGTTCTTTTTTGCATAATCATCATGTTAATCATGAAGTGATCCAACTCAGGATACTCGAGTGTGTACTAAGATTTCCTAAACTTTCTAAGGTAGATGTGGACTCCATTTTCAAACCATATTCTTTCCTTTACAATAAAACAAAATGTGAAAGTCAATGGGGGACACACAGGATACAAACTAGCATCTAGATTTTATTAGATTTTATTCTAATAATAATTGTAGCTTTGCCATCATTAAATTAACTATGATTACTTTCTGGATTCCTTAACTATGTGAATACACACAAACAGACTCACATGACCAGTTTGATTTGCACAATTTACTTAAATGGTACTTAAAAATAAACAGTCAGCAATTAGTATAAAATTGCTACCATTGCAACTCTTCGAAGAATTTAAAAAAATTACTCAAGTGACCTCACTTGAGTAATTATTTATCACATACTTGCAGGGAGTTTACTGTGCTTTTGACAAAAGAGCTAAGGGTCAGCAAAGCTATGGTCAAATACTCAGCTAATAATCTACTGAACACATTACTGGTACCTTTAGATGTGGTATACACCTGAAGTAATCATTAAATTCATCCAAATCCCATGTGTAGGGGAAGGAGTGGAAGCTTTTATTTGAGAATATAACTCTCTTTAGTGTTTAGATGAGTATGGAAACCAATGAGGTAAGGGAACGAAGGTTCTGAGAGATTTCGAAGAGAAAGTGAGGAGAATGTCAAGACACTTATTATATATGGTCCAAGCAACCTGGAGCAGGAAGAAGGCACTGGGTCCAGTGTTATGTTTTAGCTAAGATCTTATGAGAGAATTTTAGAGCTGAAAGTTAAAAGGTCCAAATAAAAACTTTTTTTCTAAAATCTTTGTAAAACCTTAAAAACCCTATGTTGAAAGCACAAGACACCTCTGCTTTATTGCCTTTGTAACATGCTATAAAATTTAAGGTCATGGGTACCTCGCATATTACTGGATAATATAAAGGGACAATGCCCAAGGCAGTAAGATAGAGCATCCTACATTTGAAACATAGAAAAATCAGGAGAAAACAATCAACCACCATGGAAATAAAGGGTAGTGGGAATACATAGAGGAACACATGATTAAGTGAACAATTTGATGATTTTTCATAAACTGGACACTCTTAGTGGAACCATCACCCAAATTAAGATTAACCCTTATTTCATGACCGATACAAATCCCACCCAACCAAAGATAACCACTGACCCAACTTCTAAAAACCTAGATCAATTTTGTGTATTCTTTCCTCTACGTATAAATGCTAATGTGTAAGGTGGAATCTTGCAGTACATATCTTAGTCTATTTGGGCTGCTATAACAAAATACCATGAA